GCGCACAACTGTGTGCTTCTGATATGGGGTTTGTTGCACTCAATACTGTGCGAAGAAAGTGATAAGGATTAACGGTGACCACGTCGTTTTATAGTGCGCCATGGGAACGATGAAGTAAATTGGACTCTCGAGAGCATCACAAGACATGCTTCGCGCTTTGCACGTTGAGGTTCAAAAAAGATAGACGACGGTATCGAACTAGGAGGCAACATTGAAGGGTATGCGCAAAATTAATGTGTATGCGTCCAGAGAGGATTGACTGAATTGCCAGAAAGATTTAACCAGAAAATGTTACAATGCATTGTTGTGTAAAAGATAAAGAACGAGATCCTTGTATGGAAAAAAGACCTAAATTTCTAAAAGGCAAATCACCTAATGCTCAGGAATTCCTTTGAGATATCTAGGGGATGTGCTGGAAAACAATAGTTTAGAGTGCACAAGCATTACATTCACCCTGTGGACTTCTGAATAAAATATGTCCACGTTAACCACGTGGTTAAGACATACACCACGCCGCTTTAAGGCAAACACCGCACCGTTTTACTGAACTTATTTGTACACCATATGAAAGTGTGGATGGACCGTTTCGAATAAAAGTTTAAGTTGAGGGAGAACATTTAAAGAGTCGTCCTAAAACCGGCAGTGTACTTACCTGTCATGACAAACGCTATATGGTGGCATGTATCAATGACGATGATTGTGAACAAAACCAGGCAATTGTATACTGATAAAAATCGGGAATGACCCAAAAGCTAACCATAGAGCGTAGGCCAGGATACCGTCTGATAAAACAAATAGACCATGACACAGCATGATCAGTATCTATCCTTATGCGAGTGCACTCGCGAGACACAGCGAGTAAATTGACACGACATATTTTGCTTGCCTGGCGGCAGTGTATCAGTTTGGAAAACACTAGCAGACAGGGACCCTGCAGCTTGAAAGTTCAAAAAGCGGATTGGAGAGCAAACCATGTCATTTTGAAAATGGGGCATGAACGCAATGTTACTAGTCGCAAACAAATGCTGTACTCTAGGGCCGAAAATATTATGGAGATGAATTTTCAATATTGTTCTTCTTTTTTGTAAGGCTAAGGATGATGCTTTGTTGTAATATATATGTTCCCCTCAAATTGGACTAGAATGCCCAAATACATGGTCCGTTGCCATGACGACGGATCTTCTATACATTCCAAGTGTTACAAACATATTTTTGACGGTGCATATTTTTGATTGGGATTAAGCATATCGTAATATATAAGCAACGTTTAAAAACTTAAATGAGGCTACGATGCATAAATAGTCTTGCACCATTCAAGTTAACAGTTCACAATTTCGCAATAAATGTCTTTCTTGTGAATAGGTCTAATATTAAATAATTGCACTAAATGACTCTTACCTTTTGAACGCCGCACCTAGACACACACTAGCACGTTTGTTTATTGTGTAAATCTAGGATTTTCTTTTATTCCTATTCCCTATTTCTTTGTTTGTACTTAAACTTTTTTTCGCAACAGATCTCATTGGTTTTGTACACATATCCTCATCGAGGTCGTCCTCGATTTGGTTCCTGTCCTCGATTCACAAGTGATGCTGCACGTGCGTATCCTCGATTTACACTATAAACAAACGCGTTTGTTTATGGTGTAAATCGAGGATTTTTTTTTTGTTCCTCTTCCCTTTTCCTGTGTTTATAGTCTAACATTTTGCAATAGCTCTCATTGGTTTTGTACACGTTGTCTAGCAGAGGAGTCCTCGATTTGGTTCCTGTTCTCGATTAATCGATGACGTTTCATCTGTGAGTCCTCGATTTACACCATAAACAAACGTGCTTAAAGACATACACCACACCGATTAAAGACTCAGGCATGTTTACGTTACATCTAGCGGGGACATACCTTTGTTTTCGTGTAGTTAAGAAATGTGTAAAAAAAAACTCTAGTGATAACTCTTTCGACCCCATTTTTCCTTTTTTTTGTACTTTGATTCTCTTGAGGGTTTCTTCTCATTTTGCGACAAATAAAACTAACCAAAAATTGCCTCTTGACCTGTTTGCAGAGAGAGTTGGAAACCTTCTGCGGACGTGGGCAAGTCCACACAATGTATCTGTAAATTGGTTTAGGGTCATCTTTTATTTGGAAGTCCCCACAGGGAATGTCATGCTTGTGCACACCACGCCACTTCAAAGCACACATCGCGTCAAAAGACACGCTGCGCCGTTTGAGTGACCTGAATAGTACACCATATGAAAATAATCTGGGACTTTTTCGACTAAAAGCCAAAGGTAAAGAAAAAATCATAACAAATATGAAAACTGAAGTTTAAAGAGTCGACTGTACTTACCTATCGTGACATCCAAATGGAGAGGCTATTGCAATAGTGGCATGTCTCAATAGCCGTGGTTGTGAAAACCACCAGACAATTGTATACTGATAAAATTCGAGACTAACCCCTAGTTCATCCCTGGTGTATGTTAAATAGAGCGTAAGCCAGGTTACAGTCAGGTAAAACAAATAGAACGTGACACAGCATGATCAGTATGTATCCGTACCCTCGTCAAAGTGTACTCTCGAGGTATGACGTGCAAATTGACATAAGGCATTATGCTTGGCGTGTGGCAGCATATCTGTTTGGCAAACAATGGGGAACAGGGGACCTGCAGCTTGAAAGTTCGAAAGCGGATGGGGGGGGGGGAGCGCCCCATGTGACTTTAGAGGGCGCTGATCAAAAACGCTGGAGTGTGTGGAGGATTATTAGGGTTTGTTTATGGTCTTTGGGCTTTTTGGTGGAACTCTATTTCAAACGCTTTGTTAAATAGAATAAGGACCCTTTCCCTATTAGATTAATACTTTGATTCCATTTGCTGCTAATTTTTGAGGGCTCAAAGACCTTTCCTTTTGAGTTTCATCCAAGTGATCATGTCTGTGAGCAGGTTGCAAGGAATCATTGAGTGAGCACCCCCACCCACTAACTGTTGAACACATGCCTGGTGCCTGATTCCATCATTTTTCTGAACTTTAGAGGTGCTTTCATTTGGTGCAAGTACATTGACATTCTATCGGTGCTGTGATAATGTCGGTTATATTTCCTATTTTTTCCCGTGTAATTTGTTCTTTTTCACCTCCTTACTTCCTTGACCATTCAAAGATCGTTGACCATTCGCTCTTTTTTCATCTCCTGTTCATCCTTCTATTGTTATATCAAAATGCACTGCCGAAGCCATCCCCTCCTCCAATATTTTAAAAAGACTGCCCTTTTGTATACACGTGTCCTTTTTTCACCAGCGTTTACTCCACCCCAAACAAATATTTAAGGAGTGCCCTTCTGTTTAACAAGTTCCCTATTATTTTACCAGCGGCCTTTCAGATGCCAACTTCGGCAATGTGCCGACCTGAAAAGCGCCACCTATATTGTCCCATAGTATCTATGACCGTCCGGTTTGAGCAGCGCCCCCATAGAAATATGTTACCAGCCATATTATGCCAAATATCCGAACTAGGACAATCGTTGTGTTTGGGAAAATACTACGCCATAAAACAACTTAACTTGCTTAAACTACTGACGGCTACCAAAAAAACTCTTTGGAGGCTCCGCACGAGAAAAAAAATGCGTATACCAGTAAAAAAAAACACCAAAATACCAAGAAAAATAATTATGCATCCATTATTGCTATGTGAGGCTTTGTGGCGCGAATCAAATTTCCTCTTATTAATTTCAGTAATACCACGTTTGGGCGTACAAACTTGATAGTTTAATGAGATTTTAGGTCCATTATTTCTCCTATATCTTACCATTATTAAAATTGTTATTCGTTGTGTTTGGGAATACATATGGGGCGGTATCTAGTATTTAAAAATTGGTTATAACAACAAATTGTAATGAAACAGTTCCTTTGTGGCACATGAACGCAATGTTACTAGTCGCAAACAAATACTGTACTCTAGGGCCGAAAATATTATGAAGATGAATTTTCAATATTTTTCTTCTTCTTTTTGTAAGGCTAAGGATGATGCTTTGTTGTAATAAATAGATTTCCCCTCGAATTGGACTAGAATGCCCAAATACATGGTCCGTTACTTTGTGCGCCATGGGAACGATGAAGTAAATTGGACTCTCGAGAGCATCACAAGACATGCTTCGCGCTTTGCACGTTGAGGTTCAAAAAAGATAGACGACGGTGTCGAACTAGGAGGCAACATTAAGCAATTCTGTCACCATGGTTTTGAAGGGTATGCGCAAAATTAATGTGTATGCGTCCAGAAAGGATTGACTGAATTGCCAGAAAGAATTAACCAGAAAATGTTACAATGCATTGTTGTGTTAAAAATAAAGAACGAGATCCTTGTATGGAAAAAAAAGACCCTAGTTTCTAAAAGGCAAAATCGCCTAGTGCTCAGGAATTCCTTTGAGATATCTAGAGGATGTGCTGGGAAACAATAGTTTAGAGTGCACAAGCATTACATTCACCCTGTGGACTTCTGAATAAAATATGTCCACGTTAACCAGGTAGAAGCGACGTTGTGGGGCATTTTGGGGTAGGTTTATCCGTCGCAAAATGAAGAGAAACACACAAGGGAATCATAGAAGAAAACATTGGGTTGCAAGAGTTTTTAATAGTATGAGTAACATAAGTAATTTTCCCAGGCTTTTCTGAAACTACACAAAGAATGTCCACACTATGTATGTGGCGTAAACATGTATGTGTATACGGTATTGTTACACGGGTTGTTATTCTAAGGATATAAAAAAAAAAAAATACAAATTTAACAGGTTCTATAAAAACGGGGTTTAATTTATACAATATGAAAAATTCATTGTATGCATACCCATCCGATAATGATTTTGCTTTTGAGTTTTGAAATATTGATGAGTAATTTACATTCTTGATCAACTATTAACAAGACACAGACAAAACAATTTGTGCGATACCAGCATGATAATTAATGCATGCATAATGCCATCTGTTATGCAAACAAAAGATTATTGTGCACGGCTATTAATATGCAAGAAATAAAAAGCAAGTACAGACAGTGGCGAGCGCTAGTAAAACATTTTGAGTTAAACGACTACGACACCAACCGGTGCACACCACCTATCTGTGAGTCTTTCTGGCCGCTGGCAAAATGAAATCCAGTTCGGCAGGTGATGGTTTGTACAATGTGTATGTGACCTAAAAAAAAGAGTTCATTTCGGGAGTAAATTGCTGCAAATACATTACTTTAAAAGGTCGTGTTTAACACTCAACGCTATCAATCAACAATTTGAAGTGTTTTTAGGTGAACCATTTTATGTTTGTTTACAAAAGGCCTACTTTTATATTTAGAGCAACCAGTGGAATTAACATTTCGAACAACCAGTGGAAAATGTGCTTCGCATTGCTGATACAATTTCCGTCAACCTGTCGCAAGCATCGTTACCAAAGCAGAAAAAAGTGTAACATGATCATACATACAATGTTTCCAGTTGCACTTGGTTAATTATATATCATGTTCTGTTCTTAAGGGAATTGAAGTATCACATAAGCCTGTATTGTCTTGTATGTTCTTTTTGTTGAGGTAGGGAAAACGCCATATGTTATGCAAGAAATATTAATGTGCATATTTTAATGTGGTTTGAAATAATTTTTCAGCAAATTAAAAAAAGTACAGCAGCGCAATTCCATTGTGTTCGAGTATAAATAAGCAGAGGCTGCGCTCAAATGTTGCGCTCTATCAGCCGTTGTTCGACATACGTTTGACGAAGTTGCGCACACATCAATAAAATAACTTGGAGAGTGCAATTTCTCAGGATTGAGAATTCATATTGACGCATCACGATCGTGAGAGGTAAAGATATTGGTAGTTAAACAGTTGCGCGCAGGCGCAACATACGTGGTGGACTAACTGCTGATCGACCAATGTTTCTCGATCAAGCTTGCCCTATGTACTAAATAGTTCACTTCCCCCAGGAACGGGTTTTATTCTGCTTGACGGAGTTGGAACCGCACAGACAGTCTTGAGCGCAAGTAAAACATTTTTGATTTAAACAACTACGACACCAACCGGTACAAACGATGTATCCTATCTTTCGGTATGCTTTTCTGGCCGCTGGCATACTGATAGCGAGTTCAAAAGCTGAAGGTTTGTACAATGGGACCTTAAACGTTAATTGAAAAGTTCGTGTTAAAAAGTCGACGCTGTTATGCACTTTATGTGAATCAATCATCAATTTGAACCATTTTGTGTTTCAATCACCGTTTACAACAAACCTACCGGTTATTCCTCTTTTTAGAATTGCCAGGGAAAATTCTGTTTCGCAGTGCTTACAAAAACTTTCCGTTATTCCGTTGCAAGCATCGTTACCAACACGAGAAGACTAACTGTTATATGCAAATAAATAATTTGTTTGCAGTTGCATTTGCTTTATTATATCATGTTGTGGTCTTGTTTACATTTAAATGATCAAGAAGGAAAGTTGATAGAAACATAAGTATGTATTGTCTCGTACATTTGGTCTTTTCAAGATAACGTGACGGCAAAAATTAACGCGGAGAGTGCGAAATACATCCAGCTCTGTGAAAACAACGACATTGACGGCGTCCTCGATTTGTTTACCGATGACCTGATTGTCATGCAAGAAGGGTACCCCACTGCCATAGGGAAAAACGGTAAGCAGTTTTTTGTTTGTTTCAGTGTTTTAAAGCGACATATTATCTCAATGACTTATTGTTTCCCGTGTGCCCCCAAAAATGCCATTTCTAACGTCAGAAGCCCTAGAAAGATGTTAATATTTGGCAATCTTACAGTCGGCACATGATCTCCCAGGTGTGGGTGTTTTTTTTTGGATTGAAGTTGGAAGCAGAAAATAAAAATACTTCAAATTTGGTGTGAAGATACAGACATCCGTGTTTTGTACATTATTGCAAAGTCAATACAATATCCAACAATCCACAAAACGATGCAAAGTGGACGGAGGGGCGAAAGTATTCAATTGTGTTTCATTTTTCCCATAGATGCAAAGCAATACTTCTCATGGATTAACGATGTCAAGACGATGACCATCGACACTAAAGAAGGGTCTCCGCTGAACAGCTGCTCGGGAGATAACTTCGTCTTTGAGCGCACGGAAATTAAGTCCATCAGCAGTACAGATCAAGTCAGCAAAGGAAAGTCAGTACATTGAAAACTGTGTTTATTAGGATGGTACTAAATTTCGAAATCCGGTGCGAATCCAGTTGACTTCAGTTAAGGCCGTAATATTCCAGTACTAGATAATCTGTCACACAGACATATCATGATTGACCTGTCTTTAATTTTGATTTGTTTTTCTTTTCTCTCTTTTAGGAGTTTGGCTATTTGGAAGAAAGTTGGTGACAGTTACAAGATGTACACCCACATGTACAACTCTGACTAAGGTAACGATACATTCGTAACGCAAGTGCTAAATTGACGTGAAATTAATTCAGAAGTAAAACTTATAGTGATTTACTCGTTACACAATTTTAGTGCACCACTTATACATGTATAAATGGATCTCTAATCATTGCGTTCAAACACCCCAGCCTCCCCATTGTGGACAATTCTGTATCTGATACTGCTTTGCACTTATGTAATTAGAACAAATTTGGAAAAATGAATAAATTATAGAAACAAGCGCAGGACCTGTGGGATGCCTAACCGGTATTACATTCCAAATTGTTGTTACAGTTTATCTATCAGATTTTCAAAATAGTTGGTTTCTTATTGGGCTTTATTTGGGGTCTTGGTTTTTAATAACGACTATATTATATAAAAGATCATTTTGGCGATAGATATGCGTCATTTCAGGTAGCGATTTAAACATCTTAAATGTTAAAGTATTCTCCGATAAGTGGTACAGGGATTAAAAAATAGGTTTTTAAACTTTTCTTTGTTTAACACAAATATTTGAAGTTAAGATATTAAACATGTCTTCATTAAATTATAAAGGTTTAATCTGTTCAATCTTCTGCGTGTGGGAATACTGTGCGGCGTAGACCTTCGTTTTCAGCTACTTTTCACAGTTTATGTTTCAGTAAACAGAAAACTGTTTGATCGAGACATTCCCGGCACAATCCCGGCCACTAGCATACTACTGATAGCCAGCTCAGTTTATGTTTTGTACAATTTTACCTGAAAAAGTAAAGTTCGTTTTTGACAGAATATTGCTGCAAGTGCTATGAATTTAAAAACTCATGTTGAAAACTTGAAGCTGTCGATCGACAATTTGAACTGAACTAATTTTGTGTAGGCCTATCAATATCGTTTACAACATTGGTATATGTGCATTAAACGAAATATAATTTGATCGATAAATTCTCTACTTTTCAATGTTGGTGTAAAGTGTTATATAACTGCCAACTACATCGGCTAAGGCAACCTTTTGCTACACGCGAATTGTCAGCTTGTACTAATGACTCCCTGATCGACTGCGTGAGTGACTGCCGCACTGACTGACTGACTGACTGACTGACTGACTGACTCCCCTACCTCCCCGACTCCCCGACTGACTGACTGACTGACTGACTGAGTTACCCAGCATGACTAATGTCATAGCTTTGACTTTAGGAGCTAGCAGCACTAAGTACACCTTGTCTTGATTTGAAATGTAAATGTAAGTTTGAGTTGGGAAAATACAATATAGGAGTTTCTCCATGAGCCTTGCCTAATCAACATGGTTTTATAAGCACAATCGGCCTGATAGCCCTGAGGAGTAAGTTTGAATTTCCAAAAACATCCACAATCTGCGTAAAAATGTCGGGGTTTGGACTTTGTTACACATTCGAAGCTAGGAACAGCGACCACATTGATGCCTGTTGTAGTCTTGTGAATACTACATATTGGACTGTACATGTTCATCCGTAGGTCATGAGTTGGAATCCCACTGGGTATTTTTGGCTGTTTTGGCAACTTGCCGAAACAGCCCGATTGGGATGAAACTTGATTTGTACCTAGACCGGGAGGTGTTAAAGATGTAAATTGAAGTGATGTCATGATGACGTTATCACATGACATGTGGCCTACATTAATGGTGCATTTTTCTAAGGCCTATCAAAAGAACTATAGGTCCGATTTTGCAGTAGCTTGGTATGTACCTACATTGGGATGTGCAATAACTATCAGTGTATAACATGACTTGAACATGCATTAACAAAATGCCGAAACATAACAAAAAAGTCCGAGAGCCTTACTTGCAACTCAAAGTGCTTCGATATATGTTGAGTATGTTGTTATTAATAGGCCTAAATGATATGATTTTATTCGATCACAAGTGATCATAGGCAAATATTAAAGATTTAGTTCCAGTATGCTCTTTTAATAGCTGGTTGTCTTATACTGTGTAGTAGGCAAATAGTTTGTTTCGCATGCCTGTTTTACAGTAGCCAAAAAAAAGAATCAAAATGAAGACTTGGTGGTGGCTACAATTTGTATTAATCTGTTCATTACTTTACGCGTGAGTGTCACTCCTTGGTATCTACTACCGTACTGCATATCATCCCTATAACTGCTTTGCGTATCCTAACAGTAGCGGTTGCCTGTCACTTTGTTGATTGCGACTATACTATCAGGGAGTTACTGACGATACGAAGCAGATATTTAGTGTGTGGAGACAGGAAGACAGCGAGAAAGCCTGGAAAGCATACCACGGGTAAGACAAACCTAAGTTGAATCTACTTTCTTTCTTTTTTTATTTGATTAGGTTTGTTGGTGTGTAAGATCTGAGGAGGTTAATAAATAATGGTGCAATTTTTGATATCTTTGTGTCAGTGTTGTATAAAACATGCTAAATGATACACGAGGCCAATTCGCAGGTTATATAAATACACATTTTTTTTCTCGAAAATTGGCAAATATTTGGAGCTGCAGGTACGACTTGACTCGGGTACGACCTGACTTGGGTGCGACTTGACTGGGGTGTACATTTTGGGGTACGAGTTAATTCGGGAACGAGTTTAATAACTCGAGTACGGGTTGACCCATTTCCCTCCCATTAATGCAATTTATCAGCGTATACAAAAGTCTAATATGATGATAGATTCATTATGTTTTCTCATATCTTACCATTATTGAAATTTTTTACCAATATTGTGTGAATACTCATGGTGGAAAACAGTATAACGATTTAGTTTGTGTTGGAAGAGCAAATATCAACCAAATTTTTCCTCAAATTCAAATTCTTTTCCCAAAAAAATGATACCGTAAGTCTTGTAACAACAACAAGAAAAGTAAAATTAAAAAAAAAAACATGCACCTAGTCCCCGAGAAGAACGCTACCAATAGTTGTTTTCACGTACTCTGGTGTAGTATGGCTTCATTTATTCCGATTGGCTACTGTTATAACAAGTACATGTAATGGGTTTGTAATTTGGAACAGGCAGATTTTAATTATCAACTAACGTCATATGTTTTAATGTAACTTGCAAATACATTATTATGCCCAATCCTCCTGAAAAATAACTGTCCCTTCTCCATATTGCGTATTTTCATTTCCAATGGGACACTTCAGGTTTGGATGGTTACAAGTATTTCACACTTAGTTTGAACAGGTTCGGATGATACGATCAATTGTTTTATTCTAGTATACCCATTCATAAACAAACTTTGAAATAACTTCCAGTGTTGCAAATGCATCAGACTATTCCGCACTTTGTAAACTCAACAAGATGGTTTTTAGACACATCGGCAAATCCAATATTATAATTAGATAGAGAAGCAAGTAGTAGCATTAAGCAGATTGCCATCGGAACAAGGATGATTAACAAAGTAGAGGGGATTGTCCTCTGTATCGTCATCAACTAAGGAATGAGTCGTAACCACTGAGGCACGAGCAAAACTGGTAATTAGCTTTATCGTAGGATGGAAAGATATGAGTTATGACCTGCGTTGATTGCCGTAAGGCCAACCATTATGGTCGTTTATAAAGGCGCATTTCAGCTTGTACTAATGACTCCCTGATCGACTGCGTGAGTGACATGCCGCGCTGACTGACTGACTGACCGACATACTGACTGACTCCCTCCCCGACTGACTCCCCGACTTACCTCCCCGACTCCCCGACTTACTGACTGACTGACTCCCCGACTGACTGACTGACTGACTGAGTTACCCAGCATGACTAATGTCATAGCTTTGACTTTAGGAGCTAGCAGCACTAAGTACACCTTGTCTTGATTTGAAATGTAAAGGTTAGTTTGAGTTGGGAAAATACAATATAGGAGTTTCTCCATGAGCCTTGCCTAATCAACATGGTTTTATAAGCACAATCGGCCTGATAGCTCTGAGGAGTAAGTTTGAATTTCCGAAAACATCCACAAACTGCGTAAAAAATGTCGGGGTCTTGGACTTTGTTACACATTCGAAGCTAGGAACAGCGACCACATTGATGCCTGTTGTAGTCTTGTGAATACTACATATTGGACTGTACATGTTCATCCGTAGGTCATGAGTTGGAATCCCACTGGGTATTTTTGGCTGTTTTGGCAACTTGCCGAAACAGCCCGATTGGGATGAAACTTGATTTGTACCTAGACCGGGAGGTGTTAAAGATGTAAATTGAAGTGATGTCATGATGACGTTATCACATGACATGTGGCCTACATTAATGGTGCATTTTTCTAAGGCCTATCAAAAGAACTATAGGTCCGATTTTGCAGTAGCTTGGTATGTACCTACATTGGGATGTGCAATAACTATCAGTGTATAACATGACTTGAACATGCATTAACAAAATGCCGAAACATAACAAAAAAGTCCGAGAGCCTTACTTGCAACTCAAAGTGCTTCGATATATGTTGAGTATGTTGTTATTAATAGGCCTAAATGATATGATTTTATTCGATCACAAGTGATCATAGGCAAATATTAAAGATTTAGTTCCAGTATGCTCTTTTAATAGCTGGTTGTCTTATACTGTGTAGTAGGCAAATAGTTTGTTTCGCATGCCTGTTTTACAGTAGCCAAAAAAAAAAATCAAAATGAAGACTTGGTGGTGGCTACAATTTGTATTAATCTGTTCATTACTTTACGCGTGAGGGCCACTCCTTGGTATCTACTACCGTACTGCATATCATCCCTATAACTGCTTTGCGTATCCTAACAGTAGCGGTTGCCTGTCACTTTGTTGATTGCGACTATACTATCAGGGAGTTAATGACGATACGAAGCAGATATTTAGTGTGTGGAGACAGGAAGACAGCGAGAAAGCCTGGAAAGCATACCACGGGTAAGACAAACCTAAGTTGAATCTACTTTCTTTCTTTTTTTATTTGATTAGGTTTGTTGGTGTGTAAGATCTGAGGAGGTTAATAAATAATGGTGCAATTTTTGATATCTTTGTGTCAGTGTTGTATAAAACATGCTAAATGATACACGAGGCCAATTCGCAGGTTATATAAATACACATTTTTTTTCTCGAAAATTGGCAAATATTTGGAGCTGCAGGTACGACTTGACTCGGGTACGACCTGACTTGGGTGCGACTTGACTGGGGTGTACATTTTGGGGTACGAGTTAATTCGGGAACGAGTTTAATAACTCGAGTACGGGTTGACCCATTTCCCTCCCATTAATGCAATTTATCAGCGTATACAAAAGTCTAATATGATGATAGATTCATTATGTTTTCTCATATCTTACCATTATTGAAATTTTTTACCAATATTGTGTGAATACTCATGGTGGAAAACAGTATAACGATTTAGTTTGTGTTGGAAGAGCAAATATCAACCAAATTTTTCCTCAAATTCAAATTCTTTTCCCAAAAAAATGATACCGTAAGTCTTGTAACAACAACAACAAAGTAAAATTTAAAAAAAACCATGCACCTAGTCCCCGAGAAGAACGCTACCAATAGTTGTTTTCACGAACTCTGGTGTAGTATTGCTTCATTTATTCCGATTGGCTACTGTTATAACAAGTACATGTAATGGGTTTGTAATTTGGAACAGGCAGATTTTAATTTTCAACGAACGTCA